GCAGGAATAAGGCTGGCGGTGAGCTGGGGAGCAGCATGGTGCGAGGTACAGTTGGGGGTTTCAGGGTATGGTTTCAAAATTGTGTAAAACCATTGCTATAGAGGGGGTTGTCAACCCAAGAATTTTTTTTTACTGGCAGTGAAAACATGTCAGTAAAAAGTTTGGTTACTGGTAAAAAGTTTGCAAATTGTCAGTAAAAAAAAAAAAGTATTGGTTTGGCAGCCCTGTTCTGAAACCATTTAAGGAGAATGATTAGTAAGGATTTTTTCTGATATAATTAAATGACCAGTTGTGCACAAATTAGACTTTTTTGACACATCATGGATAAGATTGCAAATTCTGAGATGAGTGCTAAATCCAGAGTTTGTTTATTTAAGGGTGTCTAAGGAAACAAACCATTTTATAATTTTTCCAGAATTTTTGTTGGTAGAATATGTTGCTGAACCAAATTCTGTTCAAGAGGGGAATGTGTTTATTTTTTTATTTATGTAAAATTCTAATATTAGAGGGTGGCCTCACTCAGTTTACTGATACTTTGAGAGGGATCATGTCTTCTTTGTAATTGGGTTGTATCTGGTACAAGACAGGTAGCTTAATAGAGAATTAAGTTTGCAGAATATCATTAGTTACAAAGATTATTCAGACCAGATGGAATAGTGGGAGTATATTTTGTGAGCTGGAATGTAACAGTTGCTTAGTTCATAATCCTCGAGCGTCGGTAGGTGGGATTTATTTTTGCCTTTTTAATGTTACTTAATTATTGTGGAACACTTGTTTTCTCTAATTTTCTTGCTTATTAATGAACAATTCTTTGCCAGGTCCTAGTTATCATCAGTTCTAAAGTAGGTCCCTGGCAATCCTGCTCCATGATAATCAGCTGCTTCTATGCCCCCCACCTTTATAAGAGTCTTAAAGTTCTCTTTGGTCCTTAATTTATGTTCCAGTAGGTATGCATGTAAAGTGGAGAACGCTAAAGGATTTACCAGACTTACAAACAACCCCATATTTTTCAGTACTCACTACTCTATTTCAGGAAGTACTGTACTGTTCTAATAGAATATTCTCTTTGTTATAGATTTGTGCTGGCACACCAGAAGACATTTTATTAAGCAAGCTTAAAAATCCCAGTAGTGTCCTGCAGCCACTGAAGGCAAGATCTGTTTTCTTAAAAATAACTGGGATTTTACACTGTTGGTATGTTTGATAGCTGACGATATTAAAACGATTTATGATCCTACTTTAGCATCTTGTGCAATACTGTAATGGGTTCTTTGAAAATTGGGCCTGACAGTTTGTGGGGAAGGTTAGGACTAGTAGAGCTGAAGACGATACAATTAAGTCGTTTAAATTCTGGAAGAGAAACAGGCAAGAAAACCTAGGCTGCCTCCTGGATGGGAAATTGTCATGAAATTACAGATTGCTGAGAGTTAGAATTCTAGCCCTGCAACCCACCAGAATGTATGTTGAATTTCAAGTGGAAATAGCTGGTAAATTCTGCTTTCCTTCAATTGCACTGCCATATTTGGATGAAAAGGAAGCAGTTGGGATCCTAGAGGGCATTGCTTATGTTTGAACTGCTTTATGGCCCCCCAGTGAACTGGCCTTCTGTTTTTGGGGATGGTTTTGGAAAAGAGTGCTTGAAGTAGGCAATAAATCATCCTGTACATAAATAGTCCTTGTAGACTAAAGGAATGTATTCTGCATAGGTGCTGACTTATTAAGTCATTCTTTATGTAACTATTCAGAACAGAAAGTTATTTCCTTACCTCTCCATCTTCCAGATCTGCAATAGGAAAAGGAAGTTGTGTCTCTTGCCTTGACAAATCAATGCTGAAACATTTATTGGTAGTGGAATTTATCCAGATAATAAATGCAACCTAGTGAGGCTTAAATAAAACTAGTTAATGTAAACACTCTAAAATATTAGTCTCTTAATCAGACCAGCATGTGTAAATTGACACGTGAGTATTTGGAGTGGGTATTTCAGAATGATTAATTTAAAGCACTAGAGAAGAGCTATAAACTATGAACACTGTAAGTTCCCAGAAAACAGAAGAGGTCATAAATCTAATTCTTTGGCCATATTTCCATTTTTCTAGTTAAATGAGCACACTAGAATGAGAGGATACCTTATATGGACAGTAGAATTAAAATACTTCAGTATGGTACTAAAGGGTCAGGCGGTTAATCATAACACTGGTAAAAATGTGCTAGAATGATCATGATCATGGAGTGCCAGGTGTTCAGGATCCATAATTTCCTCTTCATTCCTGTCTGCAAAACTCTAGTCTTAAGTTTTTGCCATCTTTCAGCTCCATTACCTTAAATAGTGTCTTAATTCTCCCCTCCCCCTCGCTGCAGTCTATTCAGTATCCATCTGCTGAAATAATTTGGCTGACATCATGCCTGTATTCAAATCTGGTTACTGGATACTCATTGATTTCAACATTAATTTGACTTGCTGGTCAAGGTCCTACATAGACTTTCATAAGAAGTCCCACCTCTAGGGCCTCTTAACCTCTTATCTTCTCCTTTCACATGCTTTGGAGCAGCAAGACCTCCTGCATAATCATTCTTTTCCTTTTCTCCCATTTTTATCTTCACGTCCTCTTCATGGCTGTTCCCTGTCCATGAAACCTGTCCCCTGTCCTATCCAGGAAGTGCACAGCCCCACTAGGGGTAACGCCTTGCTGGACCTGGTCCTGGCCACGGGGGATGACCTGGTGAGGGGACTGCAGGTCCTTGACCACCTAGGCAATAGCGATCATCACCTGCTGGATTTCACTATCCAACGCAGGGCGTCTACGGCTCACACCAAGGCTAAAGCCCTTGACTTCAGAAGGGCCAACTTCATTGAGCTTAGGAAACTAGTGGAGGAGGCACTAAGGGCCCAGAAGGTAGAGGAGATGGGAGTCCAGGAGGGATGGTTGTACCTTAAGGGGGCGATCCTCCAGGCCCAAAGGATAACAGTCCGTGAGAAAAGCAAGGGAGGTAAGAGTGCTCAGAAACCCCCCTGGCTCAGCAAGGGCATTTAGCAATGCCTGAGGACTAAAAGGGAGGCATACAACCAGTGGAAGGGAGGAGCTGTCACCAAGGAGGAGTACTCCTCCTCGGCCTGGGAGTGTAGGAGGGCTATTAGGAAGGCCAAGGCAGAGATGGAACTCAGGCTAGCGTCCAGGATTAAGGACAACAAAAAGTCCTTTTTCAAGTACATTGGGAGCAAGAAGAGGGCACCAGGCAATGTAGGGCCCCTGCAAGATGCAAACGGTAATCTTGTGGCTACGCCAGA